GGGGTCATTGGGTTGCAGGCAGTGCCTGACCTACAGCCTGTCCTCCTGTCCCCAATATGACATCAGCAACGGTGGACAGCCCGGTGGTGGAGGGGAGTATGAAGTTCAGGTAAGTAGGCCGGGGTGAGCTGGCCAACAGCTTACGGGGAACTCCTAGGCTCTGCTGTCCCCCAAGACTGATGGAGGCCTCCCAGGAGTCAGTGTGCTGGCCTGTATGTGGGCCCATTGGAGGCGCTGACTGGTGCTCCCTCATACCCCCGGGGCTAGGCAGGGCCAGAGCCCCTGGGTAGAGATCCCACATCCCCCAAAGGGCTTGGGGCTTCCCAGGGACCTGGCCCCACTGCCCGTGCCTGTCTCCAGGAGGGGTTTGGCTGGACCAATGGAGTGGTCCTGATGCTCCTGGACCGCTATGGTGACCGGCTGACCTCGGGAGCCCAGCTGGCTTTCCTGGAGCCCCACTGCCTGGTGGCTGCCCTTCTGCTAAGCTTCCTGCTCAGCCTGCTGCCATGGTGACAGCCCCACCACCCTGCCTGCCCTCCCCACACCTGGCCCCAGCTCCTGCCCCATTAAACACTAGTGCCTGCCTTCTCCCGGCCCATCCTCTGTTCAGAGTGGAGTGGGGCAGGTCCCTCCTGGAACCTTGAATAGGGTGGAAATCCTGCTTTGAGGGGAGACCTGGCCCTGCTACTCCAAGTGCCCCAGGCCCACGCTCATACCATCTGGCCTTCCACACAGGTACTAGTCCAAAGGCTTTATTGTTCTGCTGAAATGCTTACAAATACTGAACAACACCCAGCCTGGACCCAAGCACCAAGCGAGGTAAAGCCAGAACAAGTATCTAACTCTGCCTTCCAAGCAATTCAAATTTGAATGGATTGGTCTCTGGATGAATTTATGCCTCAAGGCACTGTTGAAACAATTGTATAATCGGCTGGCAATTAGTGGAGCTTAACAGCTAGATGAGCTCTGAGAAAGAGGAAGGGAGCCTTGTCAAGATTACCGTCACCCCAGGTGACCTGAGCATACCCAAAGCTGTGTTTCCCTAAGGAGCAACATCAGGAGCTTAACACTGAGGGAGGGAACTGGAGCACCGAAATAACCCACCCAGTCACTCCACAGATAAACAGGCCAATAATAATAACAGGCTCTGGGTGGGGGAGGGGAAGCCAATAGCCAGAGTTACTACAATGTATTATCTAAAATGTCCATTTTCCAACAAAAAATTATGAGACATTCAAAGAAATAGGGAAGTATCTCTCTTTTTCTCTCTCTCTCTCTCACACACACATAGACCAGAAAAACTGATTGTGAGAATTACCACTGTATATTAAATAAAGGATATCAATAAAAAGAAAATATAAAAAAGAACCAAATGGGGCTTTCTGGTTTCTGGTCCAGCATGTAAGGAGTGTGAAGTTTTCACTCCATCCTAACAAGTAAAAAGCTGCACAAACCTAAAAACCAGTAATTCTTCTTAGATCTGTCAGGGAATTTAGGTCACAGGCCAACTGCTCCCTCCAAACCTGGAAAGACAGACAGACAGACACAGAGAATCACAACTTACCAGAGCAGAAACCTCTGCAGGAACTGGTACTGGGTTTCTTTCACTCGGTACATCATGTCCAACTTTCAACAAATAATTACAAGGCATACTAAACGGCAGAAAACACAGTTTTAAGAGACAGAGCAAGTATCAGAACCAGACTCAGACATAGCAGGGATGTTGTAATTATCAGACCAGGAATTTAAAACAACTACGATTAATATGCTAAAGTCTCTATTGGAAAAGATAGACAATATTAAAGAATAGATGGGTAATGTAAGCAGAGACATGAAAATTCTAAGAAAGAAGCCAGGCTCATTGGCTCACACCCGTAATCCTACCACTATGGGAGGCTGAGGCAGGAGGATCACTTGAGCTCAGCAATTCAAGACCAGCCTGAGCAAGAGTGAGACCCCATCTCTACTAAAAACAGAAAAAATTAGCCAGTCATGGTGGCAAGTGCCTGTAGTCCCAGCTGCTCAGGAGGATAGGGCAGGAGGATCGCTTGAACCCAGGAGTTTGAGGTTGCAGTGAGCTAGGCTGATGCCACGGCACTCTAGCCTGGGCAACAGAGGGAAACCTCATCTCAAAAAAAAAAAAAAAAAAGAGCAAACTAAACTCAAAGTTATCAAAAAGAAATAATAAAGATTAGAGCAAAGATATTTAGAAAATAGAAAATCAGTAGAGAGAATCAATGAAACCAAAAGTGTATCCTTTGAAAAGATCAACAAAATTGACAAACCTTCAGCTAGACCCAAAAGAAAAAAGAGAGAGAAGACACAAATAACTAAAATCAGAAATTAACATGGCAGCATTACCATTGACCTTACAAAAATAAAAATAGAATACTATAAACAATTGCATGCCAAAAAATTAGTTAACCTAGATGAAATAGACAAAGTCATAGAAACATGCAAATTACCTAAACTGATGCAAGAAGAAATAAAAAGTCTCAATAGACTAGTAAGAAATAAAGAGATTATAATTAAAAAAAAACCCTCACAACAAAAAAAAGTCCATGAGATGTTCAATTTTATGTGCCAACATAGCTAGGCAAAGGTGCCCAGACAGCTAGTCAAACACTATTCTACATGTTTCTGTGAAGGTATTCTTAGATAAAATTAACATTTAAATCAGTAGACTTGGAGTAAAGCAGATTGCCTTCTAAAATGTGAATGGGTCTCATCTAATCAGTTGAAGGCTTTAATCTGAAAAAGACTGATCTCGCCAGAAGAAGAGGGAATTCTGACATCACACTGCCTTCGGACTTGAACTACAGCTCTTCTCTGGGTCTCTAGCCTGCCAGCCCCTCCTGGAGCTTTTGGACTAGTGACCCTCCACACTATCTATAGGCAAACACATGCACACACCTCCTATTGTTTGTGTTTCTCTGGAGAAGCCTGACTAATAAGGTCCAGGGCCAGATGGCTTTATTGGTAAATTCTATCAAACATTTAAAGAAGAATTAATACCAATCTTTCTTGAACTCTTTCAAAAATGGAAGAGGGGTGGAATATTCATATTTCCTAACTCATTCTATGAAGCTGGCATTACCCATATATCAAAGCCAGATAAAGACATTACAAGAAAAGAAAATTATAGTCCCATTCCCTCTATGCATATGGATGCAAAATTCCTCAACAAAATATTAGCAAACCAAATCCAACAGTTTATTAAAAGGATTATACATTATAACCAAGTGAGAGTTATCCAAGAAATTAAAGAGTGGTTGTACAATACTATGAATGTAATATAAGTTGAATTGTACACTTAAAAATGGTTATAATGCCAAATCTTATGTTATATATATTTAACCTCAATTTTTACAAAACTAAAAAATATATATATATAAGAAGAGGAGGAAAAGAAGCATGTAGTATCTGCAGTTCAGGGGTTGCAAGAAGGAAAAGGGCAACCTATCAGCGTGGAGGTGACCATTCAGTGGGGAGGGGCAGGAGCACCATATAGAGAAAACACAGGGCCTAGGCCACTGTGTCTGTGTTGTAAAATTAAATTAAATTTGACCTAAAGCTGCCTCCAAGTGTCGCAAACTGTAACCTAACTTAATATGTAAACAAACTGCAACCTAACTGAGAGTATATCTTTGTAACAAATAGCTGACTCTCAGCCAGGAGTCTCAGCCAATCATAGCAGATGAGCTTTAAGCCAATCACAGGCTACAAACTGCTCAGACATGTCCAAATAAGGCAAATGCTGAACTGTAACCAATCAGGCTGTTTCTGTGGGTCACTTCCTCTTTCTGTCTATAAATACTGTCTGCCCACCTTGCTGGGTGGAGCTCTCTAAACCTTCACTGGTGCAGAGAGGTGCCCAAGTCATGAATCGTTTCTTTGCTCAAATAAATGCTAAATTTAATTTGTCTAAAATTTTTCTTTTAACAGTGATAAATGCTGCTCAGCTGCTACAACTGACATCCTTACCAGTGAGCCCGAGTCCTGCAGGAGAGGTCACACTAATCACTGAGCTCAATGGTGCTGGCTGGAAGTAAGCTCCTCCCCATGTGCTCCTCCTCTCCCCACCTCCTCTGGGTCGTTCCAGGCCTGCACTGTTGCTATTAATAGTCTCCTAATGTGTCTTGCCCCATCCTCTGCCCCTTCAACTCATCTTCCATAATTTTGAAGGGATGAGCTTCCTAAAGCAAATCCAATCCTGCTACTGCAGCTCACAAGCGTCTCTGCTGGTTCTGCTATGGGGAAACAGCTGCCTCCTTGACTTGGCAAAGGCCATTCACAGACTGCTGCCAACACATTCCTCCAGCCTCATCTCACAACCCTTCCCTGCACGGACACCAAATTCGATCTAGCTAGGCTGAGCTTCTTCTCATCGTTCCCTGAACAATACGCTCTGCATGCATTGGGATGGTCTCCAGCCCATTCCCTTGGCAAACTCCTAAACGATCTTCAAGACCCATTACAAGTGTCACCACTACGATGGGTCTCCCTGACTCCCCCTCTGACAGGAGGTGATGCTGTGTTGTGCTCCCACAGCATCTCTTCTAGACAATAGTGAGGGTCCCTGAGTTTCCCACCACATCGGGGACAGAATCTTGAGCCATTCTGTTTGAAATGTTAAAGGAAATGACAGCCCTCCAAGGCTGGCAGTCTTGGGGCCACCCAAGGAACTGGCCAGTGGGTCACAGAAGTGTGGCCTTAACCGTTCCCCAGGCCCTCAGGTGTCTATTGACCCAGCCCCACCCCCACAACTCAGAGGGAAGTGTCTGAGCTGGCAGAACCAGCTGAGACTCAGAAACAAAAGAGGCGAAAAAAAAAAAAAAGGTAGAAGGGCGGAGGGCGCCACTGTACCCTAGAGCAGGAGGGACAAGCGGGCCACGTGCAGACCAAGCACACATCACCTCAGGTGGCCACGCCTCAAGCTTGGACTTTGGCTGACTTGGGTGGGCAGGCGGGCCAGGCTGTGCCCAGCGAGCAGCGGTGCCTGGGCTTGCTCATCCAGCCATAGTCACAGCCACCATGCCAGGGAGGACGTGGGAGCTGTGCCTGCTGCTTCTGCTGGGGCTGGGGCTGGGGTCCCAGGAAGCCCTACCCCCACCCTGTGAGAGGTAGGCATGTTCCAAAGGCAGCTGGGGTTGGGGAGAGTGCTGGGGTCCGGAAGGCTGGGGTGAGAGCTCAAGCTCTGGGAGGCAGCCCTTAAGAGAGAAGGGGAAGGGAAGGACAGGAAAGGAAAAAGCAGGGAAGAGAAGAAAATTAGGTTTCCTTGTGTAGCAGGCTCTGTCCTGGGCACTGGACCTCCAGTCCTGGGGCAGACGGAGATGCCTGAGGCTGGCCCAAGCACGGTCCAGGAGCCTGCTGGTCAGAGCCTGGCCTCCCGCCTTCTCGCCCTCTCTTCCTCCAAGTGGCCCCTTCAACTGTGCAGGGCTGTGCTCAGGATTGTTCTAGCAAACTTTGTGCCTGAGTCCCCAGCCCAGGCGTGAGAGAAGGCCTAAGGGTCTGACCAGAGCACCCAGGTTTAAGCCCTGACCCTGACACTCCCTCTGTGACCAGGGCAAGTCAAACCTCCTTCCTGAGCCTCAGGTCCCATCACCAGATGACAGAGATGAGTGAGCCTGTCCTGCCTCCTGGACTCACAGGACATTGTCCACTCTCCGCTGCACGTGGGTGTGTGGAGCTCTGGCCACACCGACTGCTTTACCAGCTCTTGCAAGAGCAGTAATAATAGCCGGCAAACAGTGATAGAAGCACAGTTGGAAGTAAAGCGAGGTCAGGGGCCCGCTGGTGGGGGTGAGCATAGCGTGTGCTAGAGAGGGTGGGGGAAAAGGTGTCTCTGAGGAGGTGATGTTTGAGCAGAATTGCGGAAGGAGCCATCCCTGAGCAGATCTGAGAGAGGACAGTCGGGCGTGGAAACTCCAGTGCAAAGAGGGCTCTTCAAGGATTGGGAAGAAGGCCTGTGTGATTGGGACAGAGTGGGAACAGGTCCGGGGAGACAGGGGGCTCCAAGCAAGAGGCTCCAGAGCTTGGGCTCCAGTGTTGGGAGTAGAGACGGAGGCAAGTGGTCCAGCAGGGGATGTATTTCAAAGGGTGAGTTGAGGGTACTTGCCCAGGGTCGACTGTGGGATGTAAAGGGGGAAAGCGTACCTGGGATGGTTGATAGGTTTTGTCCTGAGCAATTATAATGAGAATTTCTGAGAGGCTGTGTGATCAAGTGTTTTGTCAAGCATTAGGTCTTTGCCAAATGTATGGAAAAAGGACCATGTTGGTGGTCCCTAAGACCACCCTCAGGTCAATGATTCACTAGTAATCGCCAAACGATTATACTCATGGTTACAGTTTATTGCAGTGAAAGGAGACATATCAAAGCCATCAAAGGTGAAATCATATAGGGAAGAGTCCCGGGGAAAATGAGCTCAGTTTTCCAGTTTTTCTCTCCCAGTGAATTTATGTGTGCAGCACTTAATTTTTCCAGCAACAATGTGTCACAACACACATGAAGTACTGCCAATCAAGGAAGCTCACCTGAGTCTTGGTACCCAGGGTGTTTACCGGGGCTCAGTCACAGAGGTGCAGAGCACCTGTGTGGCTGCCCTTAGTTACTCACGTTCCAGGTCTCCAAAGGCCCCCACATAAATCACATTAATAGCATAAAATACCTGGCATGGCCCAAGCAAAGACTTATCAGCCAGTGTATTCCAGTAACTTAAAATTCACTTGTTTATTTTTTGTGAGACAGAGTCTTGGTCTGTTGCCTGGGCTAGAGTGCCATAGTGTCAGCCTAGCTAAAAACAACCTCAAAGTCCTGGGCTCAAGCGATGCTCCTGCCTCAGCCTCCCGAGTAGCTGGGACTACAGGCGTGCGCCACCACACCCAGCTAATTTTTTCTATATATATATTTTTTAGTTGTCCGATTAATTTCTTTCTATTTTTGGTAGAGACGGGGTCTCGCTCTTGCTCAGGCTGGTTTTGAACTCCTGAGCTCAAACAATCCGCCCGCCTCGGCCTCCCAGAGAGCTAAGATTACAGGCGTGAGCCACCGCGCCCGGCCAATTTTTTCTATTTTTAGTAGAGACACGGTCTCACTCTTGCTCAGGCCAGTTTTGAACCCCTGACCTCAAGCTATCCTCCCACCTCGGCCTCCCAGAGTGCCAGTAACTTAAAATTTGTCTCTCGAGGTCAGTCAGGACCAGAACTTTCTTTGAAATGTTCAGGGTTTGAACACAGCAGACCTGCTGAGTCAACCTTTCACTGCATAAGCCACTTGTTATATAATGACGAATTTGGTCTTTGTCTTGGGTTTCTGGAAGGTCATCTCTAAGCCCTTGGAATTCCCCCGGTGTTAGGAGTGTCATTTTTACTCACAGTGGCCCCTGACAGTTTATGCTAATGAGGTGACTTATGGTGAGCCCCTAGGGAATTTGTGGGAACCCCTAAGTTTGTAGCCAGTTGGTCAGAAGTGCAGGTGGCCTGGGGACCCCTGAACTTGGGGCTGGCATCTGAAGTGAGGGCAGTCTTGCTGAGGACTGTGTCCTAACCTGTGTATGGAGTGTGCACATACCCCAAATGATTAACGCCAGAATTAAACCATAGCATTGTGGCTGGAGGCAGAAAATGTGTGATTTACTAGAATGACCCTGATTCACTGTAACGTAGGTTGAGAAGAGAAAGGACGAAAGGGCAGGGTATGAGGAACCTTGCATTTCTGGGTGGCTACGGAGTCACCCACGGTATGGAAGAGCAGTCATTCTGCAATCAGTTACTGGAGGTCAAAGTTACTAATAGAATTTAGAGAATATGGATCCAACTTCTGAGGAGTTGACCCACTGATGCATACGGAAATGCAAAATAACAAGCAAAAAAGCACAGCCGGGCTTTCATGCCTGTAATCCCAGCACTTTGGGATGCTGAGGTGCGAGAATCACTTGAGGCCAGGAGTTTGAGGCCATCCTGGACAATGTAGTGAGACCCTATCTCTACAAAAAATAAAAAATCAGCCGAGTGTGGTGGCATGCACCTGTAGCCCCAGCTACTCAGGAGGCTGAGGTGGGAGGATTGCTTGAACCAAGGAGTTCTAGGTTGTACCGTGCCACTGCACTCCAGCCTGGGTGACAGAGCAAGACCCCTATCTCTTAAAAAAAAAAAAAGGAAAAAAAAGCAAATATACAGTCTCTATAAATTATTCTCTATAATAGCTAAAATGAAAATAAGAGATGGGCCAAGCTTAGATCCTGGTCAGTGGAACTACAGCCTCTCATCCGTGACACAGGAGCCCCGTGTGTGTGGTACTGGTGAAGCCCTAACAGGCACTATAATTAGATTTGGGGGACATAAAAATGCAAGGGTTGATGGGATTAATGTGAAAATTTGGATGAAAGGTGAAAGGTTTAAATAGGCTTTATGTGAAGTTGTTGCTTCTCCTTCACCTGAATGTTTTTTGGAAATGGATGTTATGTCTGACTAGGGAACAGTTCCCCCAGCTAGCACTATAAAACCAAAACCTGTTGGTGTTTTCTGAATGGGACCACAGTTAGGAATGCAAGAGTTGATAGGATTAAGGTGAAAGTTTGGATGAAAATTGGCACGTTTGAACAGGTTTTATGTGAAATGCTTGTATCTTTTTCCTGAGTGTATTATGGGGATTAATATTGTATTTGACCGGGGAACGTTTCCACCCTCTAAGATTGTAAAACAGAAGGCATGTAGACCCATCAAGCAATATTAATTGGACATTGCAAATGGGACCCAATCAGATTGCCTCAAGTCCACACTCTGTGAAGTATAGACTGGGCCTTAGAGCAAAAGTCTTAGAGCACCTCCCAGCACCACTGCTGAGACTTTGGACTAGAGAATTTCCATTCGAGAGGTAATTATTAGCTTGCTATCAGATATTATTTGTAATTGCCCCCTTGACTGAAGGACATAAGATAATCTTGAAACCTGAAATACCTATGGTATCTTGGGCGATGTCGGAGGAGTGCTCTCATAGGATGGGCAGTGTCCAGAAGAGTTCTATAATAAAACGGAAATGGCTTATGCAGGGACCTGCTACTGGGGGAATGCAGAATTACTCAGTGTATTCCACAGCAGGCAGACTCTTCTTCCCTAGCACTGACTTTGGAATCACCCAAGGAGCTGCCGGATTCTCTTGCCACTTGGACAGTGCCCTGTGAACTGCTCTCGATTGACCAGCAAAGAGCCGTTTGGCTTATGGTTGGCAGTTCCAAGGTGAACAAACAGCACACTGTTTGGAAGGCTGCCACTCTCATCGGAGAAGGCAAAAGCAAATCAGCTCTGCGGGCTGACTTGCATACTCTGCCACAATACTTGTGTTTTTACTGACTCTTGGGCAGCAGCCAATGGCCCAGCCATACGGTCGGACAGAAGGGCAGTGGAAACCTGGTCTATCAGAGCAATGCCCTCATGGAGCACAGCCCTACGGGAATCACTACGGGAATTTCAGGAGTGCATCAAAGCAGGACATGTCGATGCCCATCAATTGCCTTCCAGGATCAGACGGCAGTTGGGGCAGCAAGTGGGGATCCCTGTGTGCTCACCCGAGGTGGCTACCTCGGTCCGTGAAACGAGTGGACACTGGGGCCGCAGCAGCGAGAGATGAGCTTAATCCAGATCTATTTCTCTTGTCCCTCTGAGGCACAAATTGGCCATGAGAACTTTTCTGTCTGCCAATAAGAGAGACAGAGACTGCACGTGGCTTTGGGGCAGTCTGTCCTGGAGGGAAGGCCCTGCACACAGCTGGCAAGTGGGACACGCTGGCAGGCCTGGAAGGCTACAAGTGGGTCCTGGCAGGACTAGACACTGACTCTGGGCTGGGCTTTGCGTAGCCTGTGGTAGATGCAAACGCTCGAAATACCGTAAAATGGCCAGAACAAAGATACCGCACCAGTCTGGACCACTGAGCTACATTTCTTCAGACCAAGGGACACACTTTCATTTTCAAAGTAGTGGTTTGATCGAGAATTGGAATGGACAGTTGACACATTTGCTGTCTAGAGCAGGGGGAGATAAAGACATGAAAGGCTGGTTACACGCCTTCACTGGTGTGTGTGCTCACATGCACCATGAGGGGCTCAAGGTAGCGTCCCTGTCGTGT